GCTTTTAATTGGATTACTTTCAAAAACATTATGATAATTGTTGTACGTCCATTCTAAAAAGAATAAATGAAAAGGAACTATTTTGCTTAAATATAATTATATCCTTATTTTACGTGGCTGAATGTGAAACTCAAAATATTTTAAGTATTAAAATTTCAAAAACTATCGACATATTTTTTTTTAATTTAGATCGATGTCAACAACTGATGGTAAATAAGTATTTTTAGCTTAAATTTACATATTTTTCCGTTTAGTTCGATGTAAAATTCAAAATAAAAGTGTAAGTAATTATTTAATTTTCTTTACAATTATTTTCTTTTTTTTATTTTAGGTCAAGGAGCATTATGTATTCAAATTAAACATACCGTGTTACTTATCTATTTACATATATGTTTTCTTCATTGAAATAAATTGTCAATAGGACGTAATGTATGTATTAAAATTTTACTAATAATTATTTCTTTTTTCTCTTTAGATTCATCACAATAAAGTGTTAAAAGTAAGTATATCTTATTCATATCATTCATTTTGTTCAACTTGAAACGCAATGCAAATATGAAAGTTTAAAAATAGTTATTTCTTTTTTCTTTCTCCAGGTTTATCACAAGGGTATGGATGCGATTCCTACTCTTTTTCACATTCTAACTTTCTTAATCTTGCCCATTCTAATGAAAACTAACTTTTTTTGAGAGGTATCTCTCTTCATGACAAGCTTTGAACGAAATATTTTCCCTAAAGATTCTATGTTTTTCAAGTTTAGAATAATACAGTTCGATTTTTATACAATTCGAATGTTTTTCTTTGATATTATGATCCAACACCCAATCTTTTTTCTGTTTTCGTTCTACACATATTAGACCATTCACATCAACATTTCTTTTACTTTGTATTATAGACGTCATTTATGATATTGTCTAGTAGAATTTTAATTTCGATTTCGACATGTATATACATATTTATCATGAAACTAACGGAGAACACAGTAGAGGATAAAATGAAGAATACAGAAGAAGCTATGAGTAGATCTATGCAATTTTAAAACAAAAATATTTCATTACTTGCATGATTTGTTTCAATAAAAATAATTGTTTCAGTTAATGAAATTGAAACACATCATTTTAAAGAAGACTTTTTTGATTTTTCAAGTTCATGGATAAAACTGAGAATATATAAATAGTTGCACATACATATGTAAGGAGAACGTAGACAATACAGACAGCTAGCAAAACATACATATTTTGAAGGATATGAGCATTATCATTCATTCCCCTTTCACACACCGTAAACTGTATTAATATATTCCTTTTCATTGAAGATATTTTGCTTCATCAAGTTTAAGCATTTAGCCTTGGTTGGGTCTTTTTCGACCCATTCGTAGAACTTTGTAGAAAAAGAAGGAAATTTAATAATCGAAAGTTCTCAAATTAATATTATGAAAGACTCCATAAGCTATGGATTCATGAAAAAAATAATTTGCTCTGTCATTCTATGACTAACAAATTTGCTTATTCCATAAAATTGAATAAAGACAAAATTTTAAAAGCAAGTTAAATTGTTTATCACAGTCAATAAAGTTTTTGGAGAGACATTGTGTATTTTATACTGATCTATATGTCTATCATTCAACTGAATGCTTTTGACAAAATTTCATAACTGCGTGGGAGAGAAACGGTAGTAAGACAAAGATGGATCCTGAAAGAGGATAATGATATGTATAATGAATATATTATTTGTAAATCTCACTACAGTCACAATTGAAAAAAATACGTAGTATCAATTAACTAGGTTCACTAATCAGAGAATTACTTAAATAAAACTAACTACTTTTAAAAAATTTACGTCAAAAATATATGTAGTGTTTGAAAATAGCTTTTTATATAAGATACATATCGTCTTTGAATTTATTTAACTAAAAAGAAATTGATGACACCCTTGCCTAACTAGTATTGTCATAGAAAAGGAAGGAGATGAAGATTTTAAAATCATTCCGTTTTCCTCTCTGATTTCTAGGTTACTGTGGACATCAAACTACTCTATATATAGGTTTGTGACTCTGATCGATCTGAGTGTATCACTGGTACATCTATCAGGATTATACTCTATTTCTATAGTCGAAACAGCTTTAGAGGCTAAAGGATTAAGCTCCCCCCCCCTCCCTAAAAAAAAGTCAGTTTTCGTGAGAACTGTCAAAATTGAGGTAAATACATAGGAAAATAGTCCGTCGTCTGCTCTTTCAAAATTGATAAAAATTTGTCTAAAAACCTTCATTGTTTTTAGAAATTTTTCAGGATTTCAGAGAACCAGTTTTTGGAAAACCAGCAGTTTTTTAAAATATCTAAAAATCTTTTTCGTTTTTTCTCATTTTTCGTTTTCTCGTACGCGCATCCCAAATTTCTCTGTAATGGTTCGTTCAATGTATTAATATTCTTTTTTCATTTGAAAGAGCGTGTCAAGATGCAGAGCACTACGTCGGCCTTTTTTTGAAATACCCATTTTCTTTAGTCAATATGAGGTCAGTAATATAGTTTGATTACCATTGTTTGATAAATCTTGAGGGTGTGGGTGTGGGTGTGGGTTGGGTATGGGTGGGTGTGGGTGTGGGTGTGGGTGTGGGTGTGCATGGGTGTGGGTGTGGATCTGGGTGATAAAAGAAGAATACGCTCACACGCACATCCACACCCCACACCCAGCCACCCACACCCACACCCACACCCTTAATTTTTACATGGTGGTACTGAAAACTTGTTGCAACTTCATATCTATGTAAGTTTCATATCTTCGCCTGATGCTGAAGGAGGTCTATCATTATCTGTTGTTCAACGATGACGGCAGTTTCACATCATACACAAATGACTGTCGATATGTGTTGTTGATTTGGACTGTATTTCGTTTTGCCAAATTTGTTTTTGTTTGCCGTCATTGTTTGTTTGCTCTCGACATTGTGTATTTTACTGTTGTCATGAAGAGTACTTCCCAAGAAAGCACTTGACTGAAAGAAATTTAAAAAACACGAAAAGAAAGAGAGAGAAAAGAAAAATAAGTAAAGTCTTTTTATGTTGCACGAGCAACCCAAGAATCCCTCGACATACTAACGACGCATTTTGCATATACAACATTCAACGAAGTTAGAAACTATTACTAGTGAAATTCTCTGACAAATTTCATTTGGATTTTTGTATCTTGGTAAGTGACTTACAAATATGGTTCCTAAGCAAATTTTCGAGTTTTTTAAATGTCATCAGTACAACAGATAAATGACTAAAATATTAATTCCAAAAAATCGAGACAGATATGATATGGCAATTGATCACAGACTTTCGTTTATCTGCACAACTGATGATTTTTTTCTTAGTCAGAGGTCTATCCCATGTATTTACCTGCATGTATCGTACACAGTCTCATTGATTTAATGATTCTTTCTTGTAGAATTTTGTCTACAATTTACATGATTAGCTTTCTACGTTTGTGTCGTATTCTATTCATATTCTTTTCGCGATTGTCCATATTGAGATAAAAGTATGAAATAATGTAACTGGTAATTTCATAAGATAAGGAATAGAAAGGATGCTTTCATGCTTCGAAAGTTTGCCTATGAAGAAGAATGAGCGAATCGTTAACACCGGAAGTGAAACATTTGTGAAAGAGTTGCGGTGTGGACGTGGCTGAAAAAGCCACACCCACAATCACATCCCCACTCCCACCTCCACCCACACCCACACCCACCCACATCCACAGCCACACACCCACACCCACACCCCACCCACATCCACACCCACGCAAACACCCACACCGACCCACAATCGCACCCACCTACACTCAGACCCACACACACCCACATCCAGCCACACCCATACCTACACACCCACACCCACCCACGCCCACACCCTATAAGGATGTGGGTGTAGTTGTTCTCTAAACCCAAATGCACACCCATAGTCGTGCTCTGTTAACTATCACTAATCGAATAGAAATGCACTTATATGCTTTGTTGCTAGTAACTGTTTAACTTTGAACGATTACCATCATTCCAAGTCATATAGGCATGAATATTAACGGTACGCTTCCTATGAAATGAAAATCATTCAATAAGTATGGATTGTTTACTTCTTTGACGTAGCTTGTTATGTTCTCTTTCCGTGACTGTTGTATTATTGCTACGTGTGGTCCTTTTCATAGAGTATCTATTTGATAAGAATTCAAAACGAAACAATGAAAGAAGACAAACATAGATAATAGCGAAAGACGGAGGATTGCTATGCTGCACAAATAGGATACGAATCATTGGAAAGAAGCAAGCAAACGGTGCGAGATGCAAAAAAAATCCGGCGTGTGTGGGGTGTGGGTGTGGATATGAATGGGGTTGTGGGTTTGAGTGTGTGTGTGCACGTGGGCGTACTTCTTACTGAAACACCCGCCGAGAGCAACGCCCACACCCACACTCCACACCTCACACCCACACCCTCATACCCCACACCGCACCCACACCCATACCCACACTCACACACCCACACCCGCACCCACACCCACACTCCACACCTCACACCCACACCCACACTCCACACGCACACCCCACATCGACACCCACACCCATATCCACACTCACACACGCGCACCCACACCGCACCCACACAGTCACACCCCATGCCCCGCACCCACACCCACACCACACCCACACTCACACCCACGCCCCACACCGCACACCCACCCACACTCACATCGCACACCCACACCCCACACACGCACATTCCACCCACACCCTTGTCGTAACAATTGTCGACTGTTGTTGTTAACGCTTATCTTGGTTTGTGTCAGCATTGTTGATGTGTGTCTGGAGTGTGTTTTTTTTCAACTGTTCTGTAAGAAAAAAAAACGAAAAGTCGTTGATTCGATAGTAAATGTAAGGGAGCACGTCAACCATCACACCGTTCTACAGTCAAAATAGAAAGGAAAAGAAGAATAAAAGGTGAATTTCATTTTTCGAAGTATTTTTGTTTCATTGCATGGCTACCAGTAAAAATCAATCGGCTAAAATATCAAGTGCAACGAAATCTATCGACCGATCAATGAATTCTAATTTTGAGTCATTTGCATGTCTGTGGCTCGATCAAAATGTTAATTTAACAGAAGATAATCGTCAGACTCAGAAAGAGCTTCGCCACGTGATCAATCATCTTCGAACATTTGATAAAAGTGATGAATGTGAACAATGCATTCGACAAATCACAAAAGAAAAAGTTATTCTCATTGTCTCTGGTTCACTAGGTCGACAACTCGTGCCTCGACTTCATGATCTTCCACAATTTTCTGCATGTTATGTCTTTTGTCAAGATCAAAAGGGAAACGAACAATGGGCTAATAAATATCACAAAGTTTAATATTTCACGACGACCCTTTTCTACTATTTTGTCACTTAGATATTTTAGGTCAGTGGCGTTTTTGTTGAACGTGCTAAATTTATTGCTCAGATATCGAAAGATCAAATTGATCGAACTAAAGTAGAAGATGGGGCATCAGTATCAGTAATTACTGCTGGTTCTCAATCTCTTCAAGCTCGTAATGCTATCTTTATGTGGTTCCAATTGTTTATTGAAGTTCTTCTTCGAATGCATCATAAATCCAATGATCGCAAAGAACTTTTGGATATTTGCAAGAAGAGTTATAAGGGTAATCAACAAGAGATGAAAATTATTGATGAATTTGAAAAGAATTATAAAGCAGAAAATGCAATATGGTGGTATACAAAAGAATCATGTTTTTATCGAATGATGAATAAAGCATTACGTGTACAAGATTTTGATATGTTATTTGCTTTTCGATTCTTGATTACTGATATTGCGAAACAGATCAAAAGTGAATATGAAAAATTTGTTCGTACTTGTGACAATCGAAACATTATTCGAGTTTATCGTGGTCAAATAATTGAAAATGATGAACTAGAGTTAATGAAGAAAAGCATTGGTGAATTCGTTTCAATGAATTCTTTTGTATCGGCAAGTCGTGATCGCTCGACTGCTCTTGACTTTGCTCGACTTACTCCTAAAACTGATGGTGTTAAACAAATTATTTTCGAAATTGAAATCGATCCGCGTTCACAAACGAAAGCTTTTGCTGATGTGACAAAAATCACTTATTTTCAAAAAGAAGATGAAGTTTTGATTATGCTTGGGGCATTGTTTCGAATTGAAAAAATAAACGAAGATAAAAAGGAACAAATATGGATCGCCCATGTGTCATTGGCAACTGAAGATGATTATCATTTGAAAGAAACATTTTCGTACATGAAAAACACAATTGGTGACGATACTGATTTGGATTCTCTCGGAAAAATTTTACTTCAAATGGGAGAACCTGAACAAGCAAAAAAATGCTACAAACGAATGTTAAACGAAACGAGGCTTGCTACAGGAAGAGCTGAATCAGGTCTTGGCTTATCATACCTTGATTGTAATGAGGCTGACAAAAGCCTTGAACATCTCGAAGAAGCATTGAAAACAAGACAAAGTCTTTTGGGGCAAGATCATGCAGACGTTGGAGAGTGTTATACATGGATCGGGCGGCTACACTGGTACCTGCGAGGAGATTACGATCAAGCATTAACGAATCTGAAAAAAGCTGTCGAAGTCCAAGAAGCAACGCTTCCGTCTGATTCTCTTGCTCTCGCTAAAACGTATCATAACATTGGAAGTACATACGACTGTATGGCACAATATGATCTGGGTCTTGATTATTATAGCAAAGCTCTGACGATTCGGCAAAAAGTTTTACCTAGTAATCACCCTGACATTGCTTCAACCTGCAATAACCTTGGAAAATTATACGAATGTAGAGGAAATTATTCAAAAGCTCTAGAATACTATGAAAAATCGATCGACATTAGACGAAAAATTCTACCACCTACACATGAACATGTTATTATGGCAGAGAATAATATTCGTAAATTAAGAAAAAAAATGAAAAATTAGTTTGATATCCAAATGAAAAGGTACAATCTAACATTCATCTACCCATTCCAAAATGACACGCTACCGACACATGTGTCGACACAAAATGACACAAAAATTACTCAAGTCTTCGAATAACGAAATATTTCGTTTGCAATGTTTAAAAGATTTTGACACATAATGACACGCTGGTGTAACATATGTCACACAGCATGACACTGGCGTACATGTGTCAAAGCGTAGCAGTACTTCATGTGCCAAAACGTTTAAAAAACCAAAATGACACATGAAGTACTGTCAAGCTTTGACACATGTACGCCAGAGTGTCATGCTGTGTGACACATGTTACTCCAGAGTGTCATTATGTGTCAAAATTTTTTAAACATTGCAAACGAAATATTTCGTTATTCGAAGACTTGAGTAATTTTTGTGTCATATTGTGTCGACACATGTGTCGGTAGCGTGCCATTTTGAAATGGGTACGTTAGTATCCTCGTCATACACTATAATTCATTATTCACTTTCTATTTCGATAAACAAAACATTATGCTTAACAATAAAGTTGAAATAGTTCCAGTGCTAAATCAATCGTTTTCTAAACATTTGTTTTAGACCTTCATTTTTGGTACTTTTTTCGATTGTTCTTATCAAGGTTAAGCAAACCTTATGCTAACTGTCTCTAATTTTCGACTGCCTTGTAAAGTTGTAAAATAAGGATGATAAGCACATGATGATGATGCAATTAATCTCACTAGAAGCATAGGATGGGGTGTGGGTGTGCGGGTGTGGGTGGGTGTGGGCGTGGGTTTGGGTGCTTCTATTCTCGCAATCAACACCCACCCACACCCCCACACCCCCACCCACCCACACCCACACCCGCACACCCCTACCAAACCACACCCAAACCCTTAATTATATGTTGCAGTTAACTTCAATTAATGTGTCTATTTTTCTAATTTTAAGATGCAGAAATATTGCGTCTAAGTACGTTATTGGTAGGTGATTGTGGAAGAAGTCGAAAAGAGAATGGAAAAAAATAAATTGTGTTCTGTTCTGTTTTACGTCTGTCATTGTATCAGACTCCGCTTTATTTTGAGAATAAGAGATACTTCAAACCAATATGGAGTGTGGGTATGAATATGAGGATAGAAGAAGATTCAAACCTACATTCCACACCCACACTTACCCTTCTCCTAAGATAACTGAAAGTAATTTTCAATTTGTTATAGTACATTATATTTTGAAACAAACTTTTCCTGATTACTAGAAGTTTGTTCGAACAGAAAACATGTGTATCATATTGCATAATTATCATGAGACAGATTAAAATTATTCAAATTTGAAAAAGTTAACATAATGGTTTGGTAAAATTTTTAACCAAAATAAATCTCATATGATTCGATCAGGAAATATAATACGTTTCTCTTATATTCATCAGA